AAGACTAGACATGTCTAAGAGGATGAAAACTATGGTAATAATGTTTTTCTGTTTAAGGATATGTATATATTTGCATATTTATTTTTTATGTACTTGGAATATTTAAGAAAATAGGCTAATGAGGGTGACATGTATGCAATTCCACTTTAAATGTATTATGGAATAATTTAGACTCGTGATTTTTTTCGTACATGAAAATGTGTGTTAAGTACTTTATTGGAACTCTTAGGAGAAATTTAATATTTTTTTTGTAAACTTGATTTATTATAAGTTTATAAAGGTAATTATATGTAAATTATGCTTTACTAAAGACAAGAACTAAGAAGAAAATATATTAAATTTATAAATGTTGGTTACAAAATTCTGGTGGCATTTTATTAGCGAGGTTTATAAATGGGACCAAGCATTATTTTAAACTCTCTTAAAAGTGGGCCAGGTGCAGTGGCTCACCCTGTGATCCCAGCACTTTGGGAGGCCGAGGTGGGCAGATTACTTGAGGACAGGAGTTCAAGACCAACCTGGCCCACATGGTGAAACCCAGTCTCCACAAAAATACAAAAAGTAACTGGGCATGGTGGCACATTCCTGTAATCCCAGCTGAGGCAGGAGAATCACTTGAACCTGGGAGGCAGAGGTTGCAGTGAGCTGAGATTGTGCCACAGGACTCCAGCCTGGGCAGCAGAGTAAGTGAGACTTTTTTTTTTTTTTTGATTTGAGATAGAGTTTCGCTCATGTTGCCCAGGCTGGAGTGCAGTGGTATAATCTCAGCTCATGGTAACCTCCGCCTCCTGGATTCAAGTGATTTTCCTGCCCCAGCTTCCCAAGTAGCTGGGATTACAGGCGCTCACCACCATGCCTGGCTAATTTTTTGTATTTTTAGTGGAGACAGGGTTTCACCATGTTGGGCAGGCTGGTCTCGAACTCCTGACCTCAGGTGATCCGCCCGCCTCAGCCTCCCAAAGTGCTGGGATTACAGGTGTGAGCCACCACTCCTGGCCGAGAGACTGATTAAAAAAAAAAAAAAAAAAAAAATCTCTTAAAAGTAACTTCTAAAATCTGCTAGACTCATACATAGAAAAAAATTGTAGCTGAATCTGAAAGCTTTAAGGAAAAACTGACTTTTTGCATTTTTAAATTTAATAAATTGAATATTTTAAAAATCAAAGTAAGCCTCTGAAGAGTATTCTCTGCACAAAAAGCACCCTTGATAAAAAACAACTCATATCAACTTGTATCATACCATTGTCTGTGGTGCTCCATATATTTCTGAATGTAATTGATTTGCTTAGATAATGAGGGCATACTTTTTTTTTTCTTTGAGATGGAGCCTTGCTCTGTGGTCCAGGCTGGAATGCAGTGGCACGATCTTAACTCACTGCAACCTTCGCCTCTCAGGTTCAAGTGATCCTCCTGCTTTAGCCTCCTGAGTAGCTGGGATTACAGTTGCCCACCACCATGTACAACTGATTTTTGTATTTTTAGTAGAGAAAGGGTTTCGCCATGTTGGCCTGACTGGTCTGGAACTCCTGAGTTGAAGTGATCTGCCTGTCTCGGCCTCCCAGAGTGCTGGGATTAGAAGTGTGAGCCACTGCGTCCAACCCTTAATACAGCCTTTTACATTGTATAGCATAGTGCCTTACATTCAGTAAGATTTAGCTATTTGTTGAAAGAATTAATAATATTTTAAAGGTTCCTACTTACAATATTTGTTTATAATCTGATAGCAAATAATTTAAAACTTCTAAAGTCCTTTTTAGAACCAGAAGCTATGCTTAATGATTAAATTCTGAAAAGTCACTTGGTTTGTGAAGACACCACTGAAATTTAGTAGAAAAAGGTGGGTCGCATCAGTAAATGCTTCTGGGGTAATTGATTATCCATTTGGGTGAAAAAAAATCAAGATACTTTTCTTCCCCACCTCACATCATACAAGTTGATATAAAATAATACCTAAAATATTAAAAGTAATAAAGTAAAACTTCTAGAAGGAAACATGGAAGGGATATCATCATGATCTCGGGGTAGGCAAAGATTTATTAAACTGGCCACTAAAACATTAAATATAAAATATTGATAAATTGGACTCCTAGAATTATGACCTTCTCTTTATCAAGAAAGATACCATTAAGAGAAGTAAAATACCTTTGTAACAGACTTGCACCTGTACATGTGTCCCTGAATCTAAAATAAAAGTTGAAAATAAAATGCAAAAATAAAGAAAAAAGCAAATCACACACTGGGAGAAGATATTTGCAAAGCATGTATGTGACAGAGGACTTGTATCTGGACTATATAAAGCAGTACCAATAAGAACATGTACATATAATATTGATACTTAATATAGCTTAGAAAGAGGAAGTACTGGATTTCAAAGGAGATGAGGCTTATTTGCATGTGATAGAATAAGGCATCTTTCTTATTCCTATAGGGAAATCTCAAATAGGAGAATTGAGCCCAGTATAGATACTTTTGTCTTTCACCTGTTATTCTGTAAATATGAAGTGCTATAAGCTAGTACAGTGTCAGTCTGTTTGACCATTGGGGCAGCGGTCAAGGATACTATGTAATCCTACCAAAGTCTCTTTTTAAAGAGAGACTAGTAAAAGAAGCCTTGAGACCTTTATTGTTTACACAGCCTGGAAGCTGTCACTGAGTCCTTAAATTGAAGCATGACATTGTGCAGTGATGCGCTAGTGGACAAAGAAGTACAGAACAGAATCAAGGATGTCCTTTGGGAAGTCCACAGAGTCTGTTACAAATGTAATATCCCGTTGCAGTGAGATGGAACTGAAGACTTACAAAGCAGAGGCACACTTCCTGTGAGACAGGGGCCCTGCCACGAACAACACATCTGGCTTCTTTAGCAGTTTCACTCAGACCATTTAGGAGCCCATCAGAATATTGAGTGGCAGGACAAGGTCAGTAATGGCAAACACCCAGAATGCAGCCAGTGTAAGAGCTTTGAACCAATTCTTCCACAGTACAGCTTTACTGAGCAGGATGTGTGTGGAGAATGGACTACAGCAGGACTCCCAGGCGGTCGTTGAATTGCAAGCTGAGGTGGGGAAAGCACACGCTGAGGAGGCAGAAGGAGTGTTGTCTGAGACCTGCTGAGGTGCACCCTGAGCGATGAGGTCCCGCAGAGCGGGCCCAGCCGCCTGAGCAGCTGCCATCCAGCTGGGAGGGACGGGCTTGCTGTTGGTGAGTGGAGGCTCTGGCTAGCTGTTGAGTCTGAAAAGCAGGACCACAAAGAAAACAGACTGTTTAAACAGCAGGTGAAGCCACTCACAGAAGAGCAGACTTGATGCAAATCCTGTGTGGAAAAGATTGTTGGTCTCATTTTACTGTCTTTGGCCATACCCATAAATCTGATTCAGGAAAGACATTTATGTGTACACAAGTATATACAAATAAAAGTAAAGTTGTACTCTAGTACTTTCCACCCCTTCATCAAAAACAAACAAAAACAAAAACACAGTGGTCACATCGAAATACTAGAAATAGAGCAATTTAACAATTACAATTTTTTATTATTTACCAGACTCACCACATTTTTATTTTATAGGCAGAATGCTTAAAAGACTGCTAATGTCCTAAAGACAATAATGTAATAATACTTTAAATTTCAAAATGCCTCATAGCTGTTACTATGCACTATTCTGTAGTTCCTTTCCTGTGGATTTCTTTCACAAGGTTCCCCTTGTCTTTGTCTCCTCCTAGGGTCAGAGTGGTAGAGGCCATGTACCTCTTAATGGGTGCCTTAGTAAATACTTGTTTAACTGGACTGAACCCTAAGGATTAAGATGTCAGTGTAAGGTAACCTCATAGACAGACACGGTTTTCACCAGCCTTACAGCAATTTCATGATGTAGTCTAATTCCAGCATCTAAATATGCTATGTCAGATTTGCAACATGTTAACGCATTTTTTTTTCTTTTTCTTACCGTTTTGGCCTTTCGTTTGCAACCTTCATGGCTTTTTATCCATTTTCCTATCTTTGAATTATGCATATGTGTCACCTTTTCTGATAGGAGGAACGGAACTCCATGATGAGTTAGGTGAATTGTAAGTGTGAGGCTGGAAAGGGGATAATAATAGATATGGCATGTGGTTAAAAATGGAATACACATATGGGATCTGGAGGGCTACAGATACATACATAGCTATAGAGAGAGAAAAGGTAGGAAAACAGAGGTAGAGACATTTCAAGAGAGAACTAAGATTAGACACGAAGTGATAGAGTCCCTTTCCCAAGAACCAAAAAGAGACAAAAACTGTGCTGAGAAGCCTCAAAACTTCACCGTTTGCAGGAGACAAGTTCCACGGTAGATGAAACAAAATATGCTATTTTGAATGCATACTTATATGTATTAAAATTTTTAATCACATTTGGAGGACTGTATAATTTGAATGATTCTGTAATTTTTAGACATTCTCAAAACATGAATATTTAAAAACATAAATTACTTAAAGATTTCATTGTTAGCTCTGCCATTTGTAATTTGATGAGTGAAATGTTTCATTTTCCATTATAGAAGCAGAGAAAATCATCTTGGTCGTCAAACAGAAATTAGTAAACTGTACAAATAGACTTATTTAGAATTCCTATCCTTACAGCTTTTAATGCTTTTTTCTAATAAAAGTTACTTATTCTTGGTTTAGGACAGTAATGAATAAAATTACTGCCTTTCCATTATGTTGTTAAGATTGTTAGATGGGGATAGTCTGTGTTGCCCTCTATTGGTGATTAATAGTTAACTTTTGACAGAGTATTTGCTGCTATGTGTGTCATTTGTGTATTTAATAATTCTATCAGCCAGTATATTTTAGAAAAAAGAATTTGGGAAAACCAGCCTATAGTTGTGGCCGTGAATTGGCCAAAGGTGAAAAAATTAGATTTCGGACTTTTTGATTTAACAATTTTATTGACTAAGGTAGTATTGAGATACTTTTGCCTTTAATTAATTTTAATTTTAATTTTTTTTTTTTTTTTTTGTCAGAGCTCCACCTCAGATCAGGCGTCCCAATCGAGAAGTAAGACCTCTGAGGAAAGAAATGGCAGGAGTAGGAGCCCGGGGACCTGTAGGCCGAGCACATCCTATTTCAAAGAGTGAAAAGCCTTCTACAAGTAGGGACAAGGACTGTAGAGCAAGAGGGAGAGATGACAAGGCAAGACGCTGTCTTTCTGTAATTCACTCGCTTGAAGCCCAGGACTTTTGGTGGATATTACGATTTGTGTTGGCTTTTCAGGATCCTCTGGTTTTGACGGGGAAGAGTTAGAAACAAGTCTCATTCAAAGCCTAAGTAGTCTTTGTATTTTGAAGGCCACGCTGCAATGCAAATGACCTCAGAGGCATAGTAAATATATATATACACATACATGTATAAAAATATTTAGTGCAATGGATCCCTTGTAAGAAAAAATACAGCTTTAAAACTTTTTTGAAAAGTATTTTAATAAGTATTCTGAATAGAAATGAGGAATAAGTGAAAACAGTTACGGGGAAAGACAAGAAAGTAGATATATATGTTCACAGAATAAGATGAGGGATATGATTTACTACTGCCAAAAATAAGTATCTTTGATTTATCTGTAGATTATCATAGAACAAGATTTTTTTTTTTTTTTTTTTTGCCTTGAGAAAATTCCCCTTGCTTAGGGTTCATTGTGCACATTTAGTTATGTAGGAAATTGATTGGTGAATAAACATAGTACTGGGTGGAAATTGTGTACTTCCCTTAAAATGGACTTAGGACAGTGGGTTGAAGATAATCTTACAGAGGAAGGAGATAGCCAGGATGATCTGATGTGTCTCTTAGGCCTTAATTTCAGTAAAAAGAGAAAAAAATTTTAAGTGATAGTATTTCCCATTTCTACTGTGATGTCATAAATGAATGATAATGTAATTGAATTGCCACAAAGTAGTTTTTTACTAGTTAGAGATTCAGGATCTGTCATCACATTCAGGCCATGATATGTATAATAAAGACATGTCTAATAAAAAGTGGTTATCCATCAAAACTGTATTTGAATATTTTTATTACATGTAATTTTGATCTGTAGATAAGGACTCTAGACTAACTTCCTAGGTCTTATATCCATAATACATAGACTATGATAGAATAAAATTGGTGTTTTCTGAGTATTTCTGAGATAATTCAAAGACATATTCTACCTCCCTGCCTCAATAGGACACTGAAAATGGAATTAGATTTTTTTAATGTTTGTAATTTGTGGGAGCTTTTATGCCATGAAACAGCAAGTGATTCTATTTCAGATCCTTTTTGGGATTAGCAAAGGGTAGTAATAAATACATTAACTTTGAATTTGTTCTCTCCATTATCAAAAGCCACATAAATGGATACTTGAAACGCTGTATCCTAAATGTTGTTTTTGTTTCTTCATTTTTATGCATTGCATAAAAATGCATTGGTTTGCATTATGGAGAATACAGTAGGGGCTGAAATCCAACCCCGTTTGCTAGCAGCTTTTAGGTAAACCTTTAGAACAGGGTAAGGAACTTCCAGTTTTGAATTTACGTAAGAGAGGAACCATGGTCGTGGTTTACTGGATGCTGCTTTGCTAGGCACTGTTCAGAGTGATTAAAAAGTAATTTATGAAACAATCCTGTGAAGTAGATGTCTTACTATCCCCACTTTACTGATGAAGAAGCTGTGGTACAGAGGGCTAAAACTTGCTAAGATCTCACAGTAAGAGATGAAGAGTGGAAGAATGGAATTTGTGAAGTCACGCTGCTTTTTCCTGTTTAACCTTAAGATGTTTCATGTTATGTAGTATCCCCACTTACCGAGCTAGATGAAAAGTCTGGATTGAATTTAACAAAAGAGATCCAGAACAATTAAATGTTGGTTTTAAATGTAAGCAAAGAACAAAATAATCAAGCAGCATTTTTTGAATGTCAAATACATTTTTTTTTCTGGAAATTATAAATTGTCTTTCATTTATAATGTTATCAAATGATTTTCTAAATCTTATTCTTTCATTGACATGTAAGTACTCAGAATGTCACTAGAAAGTAACCCTTTTATGTAAGAAAAGAAAATAACTCTGCAGTTGTTTGGAGATAAAAGATATTTTCTGAGTCACTGTGGAAACAGGGAACTACAATTTTTCAAAACAAACTCATGCAAACTTCATTAGCCTTTGAAGGTTATATTTGATGCAGTTACAATTTTCGTCACCACGCAAATATTCATTAGGATACTGAAGTTCCTAAAACTCACTGAAGCCTGCGATAGGATTTGAACCAGCTTAGGTGAAACTAATAGCTATCTACTTCTGCTAAAAGCTGATTTGAAAATGAGTGTTGGTGGCTCATGCCTATAATCCCAGCACTTTGGGAGACTGAGGCAGGTGAATCGCTTGAGCCCAGGAGTTCAAGACCAGCCTGGGCAATATAGTGTAACCCTGTCTCCACTAAAAACACAAAAATTGCTGGGCGTGGTGGTGCATACCTGTAATCCCAGCTACTTGGGAGGCTGAGACACGAGAATCGCTTGAACCTGGGAGGCAGAGGTTGCACTGAGCTGAGATCCTGCCACTGCACTCCAGCCTGGGCAACAGAGCGAAACTGGGTCTCAGAAGAGGGAAGGAAAATGAGTGTTGTTTGGAAGTACCCTCAGAGGTAGGGGAGTCCCCAGTGTTTACTGTATTTGTTTTTCTTAAGATCAGTTTTGTGTGTTGCTACGAGCTTTAAAATTGAACTAGAAAAGAACAGAAAATTCAGAGTTTATTGCCAATAAGTACAGTGTTATTTTGATAAAAATTTATTTATAAAATATATACAAATTTATTCATATACGTTTATGTACACCAGCTCATGATCCAGAATGCATTTATTACTTTATGTCTGGGTCAGAATTTTGAAAGCTGCTGCAGCACTCTAACTATGTACTTAACTTTATAGAGGTAAAAAAAAGTGAGGATAAGAGAAGTTAGACATATTTTGCTTAAGGTCCCTGGTATATTTTTGGATTTCTAATTTGGTGTTGGGAACTGTATGATGGAACAACTAATAATAGCAGTAGTAGCAAATATTAGTCTTCCTTGAGCACACTTATCCTTTTTGAAGCTTTCTACAAAAAAAGCCTTCTTTGAAGCTTTTTACATTTATTGGTTTATTTGATCCCTGCATAATCCTGTGAGCTCAGCATTATTTTTCCTCTTTTATGTGTAAAGAAATTGAGACACTGAAGTCTTAACTGCAGATAGATGGCGAACTAGGATTTGAACCTTGTCTAATTGTAATACCTGAGTTTTTAAATCATTATGCTATACAGCCTCTTGTTTGAAAATGCTTACTATCTTCTTATAAGAGTACCAGTTTATTTTCTGAGAGTGATTATGTCTTTTTTCTTCTTCTTTTTTAAAATTACTGACAGGCTTCAGGTTAGGTCCCAGCTTAAAATGCTGTTTTTCAGTAAGTGACAATCATTTTGCATAGTGATCTGTTGTTGAGGCTTTAGCATTTTTCCCCCTGAGGTCTGCAGAGTCAGCCATAAGTCTAACTAGTACTGTTTGTTGAACACATCTTTATTAAGTGCACATTTTGTGTCAGTAATAATTCTAGGTGCTAGAAATACAAATGTTAATGAAATGTAGCTCCTGGCCTGAATGAATTAACTTTTAAGCTATATTTTTTTCAGTTTTATTTCAATGTATCTGGTCTCTTCTTCCTGCTATAGCAAAATAGCTTAGACTGGGTAATTGAGAAGGAATAGAAATTTATTTCTCACAGTTTTGGAGGCTGAGAAGTCTAAGATCAAGCCACTAGCAGATGTGATATCTGCTGAGGGTCTGTTCCTTCTAGATGGCACCTTCTTATGTGACCTTACAGGATGCTCCCAAGGCCAACAGGCTCCCTTGGGAATCTTTTGTTAGGGCGCTAATTCTGTTCATGAGGGCAGAAACTTCATTGACCTAACTACCTTCCGAAAACCCCATCTCCTAATACTGTGACTTTCGGACTTAGATACCAACATGGATATTGGAAGGACACAAACATTTAGACCATAGCACCTGGGAAAATCGGATTTATTATTATTTTGCTGTTTAAACTTAGAGTCAAATAGAAATATACATAGAAGTAGCGAAAGGATTTTTTTTATTTAAGAAGGGTAATCTAAAAGTAAAATATCAGGTAGTAGAAGAAATATTTTTGTTTTATAACCTTAATTTATAAAACTCTGATTCTCAAGTATTTTTAAGATTATAGTTTTATGGTTAATTAACTCAATGAAATGAGCAGTACTTCCATTATCTCATGATTGAAGCTATATATACTTTTAAATAGAATTCAGATTAAAGGACGGTAAATTATATTCTCTGAATTCATTTTGACGTTGTTAAAGGACTTTATTTCATTGAATTATACATAACAAATGGCCATTTATCATGAGAAGGCTTTCCTTCTCATGAGTAAGTCTAGGGATATCTGATATGGAGAGTTGTTCGAAACTAGATTGACATATTCTTTTGAGAGCTATTGATTGATTATATAAATAACAATGACTTCATAAAAAATATTTTATTGAAGAAAAGTGCACAAATTTTAAAGGTACTTTTTTGATGAATAATGATAATCTAGCCAGTGGTGTATATTAATAACTACTTCTATGAAAAAAAGGTATATGTGTGTATACACATTAAAGAATAAGATGATAGTGAAACAAACACGCTAGAGCTTCACTCATTGATCAATGACTTTAGCAGTTTTCAAATACTGGAAGAATAATCAGTTTTTTTGTGCTATTTACAGTGTAACAGCAAAAATGACATGCTTTTAAGTTTAGCCTGCATTATTAACATTTTCCCCATTACTTTTCTAAATCTAGGCGGTCAAGACAACAATAAATCAAGCCCTGATTTATAGCATTTGCTAATTCTGTGATATAAATACCACCTGTTTGATGGATTTCGACATCATGTCACTGAACTCATAGTTGAGATGAGTTTGGGTAGCAGCCTACCATTGTATGGTGTTTCCACCATAGAGATACAATAAACTATGGAACCTCAAGAGAATAGGTAATAGTAAAATAATTAGGATGTGAGGAATTTTGAGTATTTATTTCCTTTTTTTAAAATATAACTTATTCAAAGTTTGTGTAATTTAATATTTATTAGTGGCTGCATTTCACAACTGGCT